TATTCTATTCTATTCTATTCTATTCTATTCTATTCTATTCTATTCTAATTTTCTATTCTATTCTGTTCTATTCTATTCTATTCTAATTTTCTATTCTATTCTATTCTATTCTATTCCATTCCATTCCATTAATTTTCTATTCTGTTCTATTCTATTCTTACTTTTTCTTGGGAATTATTTTTGTTTCTCATGCATTGCTGAAAAACTTTCCTCACAAAGCAGATGAGCATATATGCTTAAATAAATGCCTCCTCTCCTTCATTTGTGCTCCTGAAATGTTTATTATTATTAGCTTTGGCATGCCTTGATTCTGTCAAAAAGCATTTGCTTGTAGTCTTCCACAAGGTGCAATCGATACACTTCAAAATGAATCCCCCCTGTGGCTTATTACTGATCTATCATCCTATACATCCTGTCCCTTCGCCTTGACCTCCACTAAATATCTGCTTTTCAAATCACCTTGCAGTTCCCAGTCAAGGACCCACCAAGTTTACAGGATGAAACATATCATAGTTACCTCACTGGAGTGGAAGTGCTGCCCAGGATACAGTGGAGGAACATGCCAGCCAACAGGTAGGGAAGATATTAAAATAATAATAATAACGACAACAACCTTTTCTCAATGATCAAAGTCCACTGGCTATCAAACCGGTACAGAAGAGAAAAGCTATTTCTGTTAATTAGCAAGAGGAAAAAGGAACAGGGTGTTTTGTTTTGTTTTTTTTTTGGTATTAAACCTAGTCCTGCCTTACAGTGGTGGGATTCAAATTTTTTTTACTACTGGTTCTGTGGGCGTGGCTTGGTGGGCGTGGTGTGGCTTGGTGGGCGTGGCAGGGGAAGGTTACTGCAAAATCTCCATTCCCTCCCCATCCCACTAACCTGCTTTCCAGCTCCGTTCTCCTGTGCAGGGCAACCAAAGAAGACCCAGCCGATCAGCTGGGACTCGGAAGGCAGAGAATAGATGTGGGTGGGGCCAGTCAGAGGTGGCATTTGCTGGTTCTCCGAACTACTCGAAATTTCCACTACTGGTTCTCCAGAACCTGTCAGAACTGGCTAAATACCACCCCTGCTCCCTTAGGTTCAAAGTCCTTGAGCCAGTCACTGTCTGTCTTTCTCTCTCTCTAGAAAGAAAAAGTGGCAAACGGCTTTTTAAATATTGCCAATAAAACTGCAGAGACTTGTCTAGGCAGAAGGCAGGAGTGATTTCACACACACACACACACACACACACACAAATACAGGTAGTCCTCGACTTACAACAGTAAGTTTAGTGACTGTTCAAAGTTACAACGTCACTGAGAAAAGTGACTTATGACTGAGTTTCACGCTTATGACCGTTACAGCATCGCCAATGATCATGTGATTCAGAAATTCAGAAGCTTGGCAACTGGTTTGTATTTGTGAGGGTTGCAGTGTCCCGGGGGTGTGTGTCATGTGATCCCGTTTTGCGACCTTTTGACAAGCCAAGTCCACGGGAAAGCCGGATTCACTTACAACAGTGTTACTAGCTTAGCAACTGCAGGGATTCATTTAACAAATGTGTCAAGAAAGGTTGTAAAATGGGGCAAACCCCGCTCAGCAATATAAATTTTGGGCTGACTTGTGGTCATAAGTCGAGGACTACCTGTATTGGAAGTCAGAAAGCTTTGCTGGCCTATTATAGCTCATTTGGAGATCTTCCTATGGATCAAGCTCTATCTTCTCCATTCCCTCCCCACCAGTGGTAGGATTCACATTTTTTTACTACTGGTTCTGTGGGCGTGGCTGGGTAGGCGTGGCAGGGGAAGGATACTGTAAAATCTCCAGTCACAGATGGTATTTGCCGGTTTCCTGAACTATGCAAAATTTCCGCTACTGGTTCTCCAGAGCTGTTCAGAACCTGCTGAATACCACCTCTGCATTATACAGCTAAGTGAGCTAAATGTCAGGATTCCGGCAGTTACTCCAATTAAATCATGAGTCTCAAGTCACACTCCCAAAGCTAAAAAGGAGTTATTAGAAGTTAACATGGCGGCATTAGCCTGAGCGTAGCCGACTCTGAGATACGTAATTCACTGTCTCCCTTGATCCTGCTTCCCCCTACCTCCTGGGTGTATCATCCAATGAAACACGTCCATAGCCAAGAGTCATCAATCATGCTCTCCAATTAGATTTTTGCATGGCAGAAGCTTCAGTCATCTAATCAGTCTCTGAAGAAAATATGAATGGAATGTACTTTCGATTCCACATGGCTGCCTGCTCTTTGAAACTCCCCCCTCCTTTCTGTTGACAACTATAAAACATGTATACAAAATGTTTTATGAGTTGACACTAAAGTTGACATACCTTATTCATTACAGAACACAGCTCCAAAAAGGTATCATCATTAGAGTATTATATTTAGCCTGGAAAATTTTTAGATTCAGATTCCACTTCAGCAGTGGCGGCCCCTATACAATTTACCCTATTGAAATTGTTGTGTTGATAGCAATATAGTGAGACCCACATGAGCTCCTTCTGAGCACCTTGGAGGAATGATTATAGCAGTAGCAATAGCACTTAGATTTATATACTGCTTCACAGTGCTTTACCGACCTCTCTAAGTGGTTTACAGAGTCAGCCTCTTGCCTCCAACAATCTGGGTCCTCATTTTACCCACCTCGGAAGGATAGAAAATCAAATCAATCTTCAGCCTGGTGAGATTCGAACCAAACTGCAGGCAGCCGGCAGGCAGCAGAAGTAGCTTGCAGTACTGCACTCTAACCACTGTGCCACCATGGCTCAATATACATATAATAAAGAAAGGTAATTGTTATAGAATTACTCCATCAGTCAGAGGTCAAGAATAGAATCAGTGTGTTACAATAAGAGAGTGAAAAGAGCTGAAGGAGGGAGAGAATTGGCAATACACCACAGAACAAATTAAACAATTAAGGAAAAGCTCTTTGTCTTACACTGGCATTCTTTTTTTGGAATTAAAAGGAATATGATATCACATCTCTTAGTTCCTAAAAATGTCAGCAATGGAACGCTGGTGAGGAATTACCCCGGGGTAAGATGGGCAGCTAAAATTTTATAAATAATAAAAATCAATTTAATTAATTAATTAATTTTGGGAATTGAGCCACACATCAGGTGCCTTTTGATTTTAATGATACATCATCAGTTGCTGAAAAGCAGAAGAGAAAAGGGAAAATTTGGTTTGAACTACTTTCCTAATTGTTATACATATTATATACGTACTTTGAGAGGATCTCTCTGAAAATTCTGGCATATAAAGCAGGAGACTTCTGGGTTGAATTTTTCCCTGAAGGAATTTCATGTGGAAGGAAGGAAGGAAGGGAGAAGGGAAGAGAGAGGGAGGAAGAAAGGAAAGAAAGAAAGAAAGAAAGAAAGAAGGAAGGAAGGAAGGAAGGAAAGAAAGAAAGAAAGAAAGAAAGAAAGAAAGAAAGAAAGAAAGAATAATAGAGTAGAGTAGAACAGAATAGAATAGAATACTTTAGTTGGCCAAGCATGATTGGACACACAAGGAATTTGTCTCTGGTGGAGAAGCTCTCAACGTACATACAAACAACAAAGTAATATAATCATAGTAATGATGCCAATAAGGGAGGGTAGTAAAGGATAATGGAAGGAAGGAAGGAAGGAAGGAAGGAAGGAAGGAAGGAAGAAAGAAAGAAAGAAAGAAAGAAAGAAAGAAAGAAAGAAAGAAAGAGAAAGAAAGAAAGAAATTGGCTGTGGCTTCATCTCCACCATAGTTGCAATATACGATCTGTTTAATTCCTGGCAAGACAAGCTGGAATCATTTCATGGAATTATTTCATAAAGTAATTACTTGGAGATATTAAATCATGGCCGTCAAAATGCCTCTTGTTTAAAAATTCATACACCTCTAGTAGTTTGACCTGTTGACTTTTTAAGGCATGTCATCTTTGAATGTATTCCAGCCAGAGGGCATGCATTTAGATACTCGACCCCATTCCTATTGAAGCCAAATGAAATTTACATCCTGGGTTTCCTTTGGCTTTACGTTTGAGGCAAGTGGCAAAATGCCATCCCGATGATTATACTCATCTTGTATCTATCCCCTGTATGTTCTGATTAGCCCACTGATCAAACATGTAACAAATTTGCCCTAGTTTGAAAGGCATTCAGCTTGTCTTAGGTGAGATCATCCTTTGAAAAATAAGAAATGGCATCCATATACATATTTTACATGGATGAATATTACAAGACATGCCATTAGCTGCGGTAGGGAACTCAATCAGTGGTGGAAAGGAGGAGGCTATGATTAAAAATTTATGGGCAGAAATAGAGAGACCTCACTGCTGTTTTCCATCCAAAAGGAAGAAACCTTAATACTTGCAAACATTAACTTCCCTGAAAGCAAGAAGCTCTTGCATGCCACGATGGAGATGGTTAAACCCACACAAATCTAAAATGTTTGCAATGGGTTACTCTTATTATTGCTCTTACTATATTCAAGTTATAATAAATATAGAAGATTAAACAAGCCAGTGAAAATGAAATGGCGTTACAGTGCTTTCAGGCACCAGCAAGCCCCCAGACTCCTCCCTCGGTACCCATTAGGCACCCTATCCCATCTGATTATTTTTTAATGATTCTTTTAAATGAAAAAATAAATAGGGAGCTGTCATGTTCGAAAGCATTAGCCTCTAGCAGCGTGTCTATTTGCAGTACTGCCTTTAGGCCTCACAAAACAAACCTCACCAGGATAGTAGAAAGTATCCAGGGAAAAGGGTTGCTATCCCTTCTGGTAAGTGGATTATTTGTGTCTCTCATGACAGCCATTTTGTGAGTGGAGTCACCTATGCTCTCCACATACATTTTAAATATGCCCTTAAGCTCCAAGGGTTTATTTGATCTTGATTTATAGATCAAGGGGAAAAAGCCCTAGAATTCTGTTTTCTATCCAAAACTAAATACCTTGGGGGTCTGTTCTTTTTTTCCTTTATTGCCCAGACTCCATCTTTTTTGAAGTGTTAGGTAAGCAGCCTGAAGGGTGGTATGGGGACTCAATGAAGGGAAATATTTAGCTTCATTTGTGGAAACTTGGTTGTATTCATTTATTCCACAAATGAGCCACATTTCCCAACCATAGAATGTCTGCAGTCCATAGCAGTCTAATTTAAAGGAGTGGGTGAAGTCAATCCAAGTCGTCTTAAGGCCACAATGCATCACATCTGCTAAAAATAATAAAAGTGACAGTTCAAAAAATCAGTTAGTTGCGATTTTGTCTAACAGAATTTTGGGAACAGTTTGTTATGGTTGATTGCTTACTACAATTCCATTCCATTCACTTCTTCCATCCTTACAAAGCTGAAAGAGATTGTGTATAGCTGAACCCACCAAAGATGGACATAACTCATTTGTCAGCCCACTATAATTTATTGGTCTAGATTACTACTTTTAATTTCAGGATGCTGAGATCCCACACAAATCAGGAAGAGTGTGTGCATTTCACAGAATTGGAGTAGTTATAAAGGAGGCACAACCATTAGCTGCCATAACTAAAGCACCTGGAGCAGAGCCTGCTCAGATTTTTCAATGAATAGAGTACATAACAATCATCA